CTGGCAAGCGCAAGGTCGTGAGTTCGGTTCCTGGTACCGGAGAAAAACCAAAAAAAAAAAAAAGACAAAAAAAAAAATCAGCACAGCATCTGAATAGACATTTCTCCAAAAAATATACAAATGGCTCAAAAGTACAAGAAAATATGATATCATTAGTCATCTGGAAAATGCAAATTGAAGCCACAATGAGATACCACTTCACCAGAAATGACAACAATCAGAAAAATATATAGTAACAAGCCCTGACCAGGAACTATAGAAATTGGATTCTTCATATACTACTGGAGAGGAGGGAAATCTGCAATCACTTTAATAAACAATTTGGCAGTTTCCTCAAAAGGTAATAGGGTTACCACATAAGCCAGCAATTTCAATACTGGGTGGAATGCTGTCCACACAAAAATGTGCACACAAATGTTCAAAGCAGTATTATTCATAACCAAAAAGTAGAAACAATCCAAATGTCCATCAATTGATAAACAGATAAATAAAACATGGCATATCCATATAATGGACTCTTAGCTGGCAATAAAAGCAATGAAATAATGATCATACTACATCAGCAAATCAAAATCATTACATTAACAGAGGCCAGTCACCAATATATTGTATGATTCCATTTATATGAAATTTCTACAATATGAAAACATATATAGACAGAAAACTGGCTAGTGTTGGATGGGGGTGGTGAATAAGGATTTGGGGGATGGCACCTAAAGGGGTTTACCTTGGAAGTTTCAAGGATTTTTTGTTGTTCCAAAGTCAGTTGTGGTGACAGCTGAACAACTTTGTGAATATATTAAAACAAATGAAGTGCATATCTTTAATGTGGGGAAATTGTATAGAAAGTATGAATTATGACTTAAGGGAGTTACCAAAATTAATAATACCATTTGCAATTGTTCCTAGAAAGGGAAGAATGCGTAAATCTAACAAAAACGTACAGGATACATATTCTGCAAATTTTAACAACTCATAAAAAAAATAAAAGATCTAAGTAAGTGAAGGGGTGTATCATGTTCATGAAGAGCATAGACAAAAAATGGAAACAACATAAATATGCTTAAAAGGGTGCATGTTTAAACAAACTCTGGTATATTCCCATAATAAAATACTACTCAATGGTAAAAAGAAATACACTGGTGATATACACATAACAAAAGATCTCAACCCCAAAAGATCTCAACAGCCATGACAGTTAAAAAAAGAAAAGAAAAAGTAAAAGCCTATGATAAAGGTATAGTAGTACCTTTCATACTTTCATTTACATAACTTTCTCAATTCCCCAGAACGATATAAATATAGAAGTAGAAAGCAGGTCATGATCAGGGAAAGGAACTGGAAGAGAAGGATAGTACAAGGAAGATGCTTTGTTGTTACAAAATAAGTTCATACACAAGTGATGGTGGTTAAATGAGGACAAACTACACAGAATTACGCATATACACATGTAAGGGCCTGGAAAATGCTGACTGCAATATAGTTTTATACTACTTATCAACCTCCTGTTTTATATTTTTATGTAAGATATTATTAGAAAGAACCTGGGTTAAGAGTTCAGGTACTATTGTACTCCTACTCAACTTCTTAAAAATATAATCACTGCAAAATATAAAACTTAAAACAGACTATACAGTGATATAGTACAAATAACATAAAATACTGTCTTGTAGCAGAATAAAACCAAATATACTAGTAGAATCAATCAAGGATGCCAATGGTATCAGTAAATGGCCATGGCCATATTAAAATAAAAAGATCCTCAGGTGTATTCACAAAAAAACTTTATGATGTACTGTATGTGAACAGGACCCATAAACAAATTGTTTCAAAAAGGTAAAGACACACAAAGCAAACAAGCACAAAGAAAACCAGAGTTATGAAACTGATATCTAAAAATATATAATGCTCATGCTAAAAGGCATCAAATAAAAAACCTCAAAATAAAAATACAACCTAAATCATGTAGATCTTAAGGCTACCTATCAACTTTTGAACCCTAAAAACAGACAATTTATTGTTTTCAAACATTTATAAAATCGTCACATTTATGTAAATTAAGCCACAAAGAAAATATTAGAATTCTGTACAAAGGAAACATTATAAATGACATTCTCAGATAAAAATGCAATAGAAAACAACAGAAATTAATAACAGAGGCCCCTCTATCTTTTTGCCCTCATTACAAAATAATTCCCATTTCAAAGAAAAAACATAAAAACTAAAAATTGGCAGAATTTTGAGAAAATGATAAGTACAATATACATCAAAATCTATGGGATACAATTAAAGCAGTGATCAGAAGAAAATCCATATCCTATGACATTAATAGCAACAGAACTTTAAAAATAAAAAATGGATGAATTATAAATGTCAAACTAAAACAGTCATAAAGAAGAAAGCAAATGAACCAAAAGAAAACAGAATAAGAAATAAAATGAATAGAATACAAAAAAAGAAAAAAGATGTCATGTTTAGCTCGGTACAGCACAACCTAGTACATGCAGTGCTCTAGGTGTGATCCCCAGCACCTGGCTTGATGCCAGCATCTCAAAAACAAAGAGACTCAGACAATACATTGGAAAAAAAGAGAATGGCACAATTATATAAATAAACTGAGAAACAAGTACAGAAACAAGTTATTCGGTCAAATCATAAACTATTTTGCTCAATTCCACATAAATATAAAAATCTTTTAAATTGGGTAATTTCTGTAAAATAAGTAATTTTTAAGAAATACATAACTTTCTAGTTCTTAAGAGAAAGTTACTAAAATTCTTCCTTGTGTGAGTTGGAAGTTTAAACAGAGTAACTTCTATACAACAAACTAACTTTTTCTAAGAACTACCACCCAAAGAATCATCATGCCCAAAAGATTTTATGGAGGAAATGAACATTCATAGGCCAGAAAGTTAATCATTACTTAAATTACTCCAGAAAAAAGACAAAGGAAGAAAATGGCAACTTTTATAAATTGAATATAACACAGATATCCAAGCAGGATAAACATATACAAAATGAGTAGCTAATCTCACAAGTACTAATGTCATGATCAAATGAGGCTAATTCCAGCAAACCCATTATCTAATTCATCACAAATAATCAATTTATTGGAAAGACCTGATGATCACAACCTTCACAAATTCCAACTGAAAATCATCAAGAAACGGCTCTCTCGATGGTCTCAGCATCATGTGAGTTTATTCTTGCCACAAATTTTAATCTAATCAAACTTTTAGGCCAAGTTTTAAGTTTACAAAAATATATTAGGTAAAAGAGCCATTTAAACAATTCCATGAGAAAACAATTTAGACAAAACTAGAAATGTGCAACATGAGACAAGCCAATAGTGTAAAGAAAAAAGTGAGATGACTCTCCTGGATTAAATGAAAATTTTCAAAAATAACAACATACATAAGCTTTGACCGCATTCTAGTTCAAAGAAACAGCCATAAAAGTCATTTTAGAGCAGTATGTACTAGATGGTATTAAGGAATGTTAATTTTCTTACGTGTGATAATGATGATACAGTTATATAGGAGAACATCCTTATCTTAGGAGATGTACCCTTAAGTATTTAGAAGTACAGTGTCATCATGTCCACAAATGCTTCTACATGGTACACACAAATATACTATAAAGTAAAAATGTTAACAACTGCTGATTCTAGTTCATGATTAGAAAGGTATCCATTTCAACAACTTCTGTTATAAAGCAGGCACACAACTACAAAAATGCTTTATCATTCAAGTGCTAAAAATAAGCAAATCATGGCAAACTTAAAGGATCTTTAAAGTTTCATATATGATCAGTATATTTTTGAACATGTATTTTCAAAACCAGTATTCAAAATTTACAATTGATCAGGAAGGTATAGTCATCATTCTCTCCCCTATTACCTGTGGGCAAAAAGCAACAATAGCACTTAACATATAGATAACATCACTATAGACCAAGAACTAGTTTATTTTTTTTACATATATTAATTTAATTATCTGAACAACTTGGAAAAATAACAGATTATTACTATTTCCATTTTTCAGCTAAGCAATTAGCCACAGGGGGATACAGTATGTGGCACAGCCAAGCTCCAAACCAAGAATTTGCATTTATCTACCATGCTGTACTGTCTCCTCAGATAAAGTAAACTTATGTTTATGACATTATTAACTTGATTCCGCAGAAGTTGTAATATCCACCAGGTCTTTGAATTCAGTAATTCTAACAGTTCAAAAGTATCATGATAAATCCAACAGACAGAAAATTTAGGTAAGATTATACAAGACATAATGTACCAGAGTACATTAAGAATGGTTTCAAGTAGTTTAAGTACTAGGGTATCTCATAAGACTTATTCATATTCTTATTAGGGGGTCTATAGCTATCCGAAGTACCTTTATAAACTAAAGCTTGAATACATTATCCCATTTTCAATCTCTATAACAATAACTTCTCAAAAATAAAAATAATTATTCATTGGATGACAAACACTCTCTTATGCAAAAGATTAACTTCAACTGTTTACCTGAAGAGTTTATGTAAGTTCACAACATTCTGTAGAAGTCACATTCACATGGAAAATTTCAGGTTGATAATGGTAAAATTTTTTTAATGACAAGATGCCTTAAAAATAATACGCCTGAAGCAAAGTACAGATCTAGACGTTAATGTAAAATTACTACTAACTCTCTTAGGTATGATAATGTTATTATGGTTATGGAAAAGAGTTTTCATTACAATTCGCACATGGCATGTTTTAGTTCAGCAGTGATAAGTACTATTGGTCTCCAATATCTTTATGTTTTTAGATTTAATATATATAATATTGTAAAAATGTTAAGTAAATATCTCAAGAAATGAAACAATATGTCTGTCTGTAAATATTTCTCATCCTTGGGGTATAATAAGTGATATTCAAAAACACAAAAAAACAGTCAAGAAGTCTAGTTTCAGTGAGAGACAGGTAGTTTTATTAAATACGTAGACATATAAAATTTTACCTGCTTTTCCTTTCAATTAGAATGGCCATGTAAGATGCTGGTAAAGCGGCACCAAAGCCAGGAGTCCACGAGTAAAATTTTCCAAGTATCTTCCTGAAATTCAAATTTGGAATTTTTATATGAAATTCCTAGTTGGTCATTTCAGTTATTACAAACAACAATGTCCCCCTCAAGCCACCTTCTATCCAAATGCCCTACCTTAAATTCAATGCGTCCAAAACCACACTCACATCTTTCCCCAGTACCACCCAGGGCACATCATAAGTGCTCAGAAAGTGGTAGTGTTATTATAATTATTACTTATTATTATCATTACTATTTTTAACACTGCTATTCAATAAATATCTTTCCTTCCTTACTTCTACAACCCTTGGTAACTTTTTTCTTACAGTATTTGGCTAAAGTATTTGGTATTTTAGTTAAACAAACCAACACCAAACACCAAAACTTTTGTTTCAAGTGTGCATAACTTTTCATTTAGTAGAATATGTTATTGGAAAGTAGAAATCTAGACATTGCCCCAAGATTATAAATGATCATTAGCTGGCTGGGTTTTTAAAAAGAAAGAAGAACTGCACATGTTAAGATTTTTCTTTCCAAATAACATGTTCCTGAGAAAAGGAGAAACAGCATGTAAAAGTCATAAAAAGTCTTTGGACAAAGTTGGTCAATTGCTAAACAAGGCAGGAGAGGAAAGGGGAGGGAGGAAGGGAGGGTGAGAGAGAGAAGAATCAAAGAAACAATGATCTTTTTGAAGTTTAGATTTAAAACAATTGGAAAAAATATTATGGATATTTTCTACCTGAAGAGGAGGGAGTTTTCTCTCCAGTATAAAAGCCAAAAAGAACAAGTTATTGGGTGTAAAATAAAGGAAAAGGATTCACTGAATCAAGAATGGGAAGACACTGATATTGCCTAATTACAAGTATTTTATGCTTCCACAATGAACAACCAGGTTCACAAAACATAAACAAAAGTACAACATAATAGCAATTTATACTTAGCACAATTTTTTAAAACCACATTACCTATACACTTATTTTTAGAGTTTTAATATGTCTTAGCAACTTTTTAGAGACTACATGATAAAGTTACTTACAAATTTTCAGGCCAACTTCACTACAATTACATTCAATAATATAGAACCTGATCAGCTATGTTTTAGATATTAAAAGTTTTAAATATTAACACTCTGAGCAAAAGTGTATAAAACATATTTTTAAATTACATGTTTAATTGTAGTATAAATACTATATATAAAATTACTTTGGGTAACAAATATAAAGATAATATGAAATGAGTATTTTATTTTGACACTATTTTAAAAAGTTTATTTTCAACCATCAGTGGGAAAACACAAAAGTAAGTACGTAATAAATATGCTAGGTTTCTCACAACACTCCAAGACTTAATTCCACCTTCACCTACAAAGTGTACAGGCTAGTGGCATAGGTAACGAATACCAGATTAAATCAGAGCCAAATGTTCCAACAGTAGGATACGCTACTAGTCAAATTTGTTTTATATATAAATACATGTACTATATAGTCCTTTCAAGTTCTGTTCACTGCACATATCCCTTTATCATAGACAGCTGCTTTGAATTTATTACAAAATTAAAAAGCAAGAATCCTGACCAACATCTTCAGAAATACAGCAGGTCTCAGAAAATATATTAACTGTTATATATTCATATCAATATTTGAAATTTATACGACATTTTGAGGTCCAGGGGCCCACAGCCCTGATTTTATAAACTTTCTTTGAAATGAGTATCATTTCACAGATTTAAAACAGAAATAGCAGCAGTGATGCCCCCCACAACAATTATGTAAACATCTGTTTGTTTCCATTTTAACTAAGGAGGTTATATTAATTTTTAGTGGTTACTATGAGTACCAACCTTAAAAGGCAAAAGAAAGTAATATAGAAGGCCCCATTAGCAGTCAGAAATGAAGCAGACTGCAGGATCTCAGGGAGTAGTTTGTATAAATAATAGTCAAATTTTCGTTTCCGGAGAATTGCAGCAATCTGGAAAGAGAAAGGTTTTTTTGTTTAATCAAACCAAATGTTCCCACTTAATTTAGTTCTTGCATGAAAACTTCTGAATAAAAGCATATACTGTAAAAGAAAAGTAAAAACTATGACATTTTACTGGCTCCTATAGAAAAAAAAATTTCCAGGACAGAAAAAAATAATTTTCCAGGCACTTGAATTTACTGAGGCTAAAATATACAAGGAAAAAAATTACAACATGCAGCCTATTCATCATATGACCACAGTGTAATTCTGTATTTTGTAACTTTGTATTTGTAATGCCTTAAAAAGTTTTAAACTGAAAAATGAAATATGCTTTTAAATGGAAAATAAAAATGGATACTATAACAAAACTACATCACAGATTTTACCAGCCTACCATCACTGGAGAACCTCAGTGATAGAAATAACAACAAAAAAAAAATTTAAATTTCGATTACTCAAACATGACAACAATGAGACCAAAACATAAAACAAAACAAAAAACTAAGAATACGAAAGTAACAAATAAATTTAATTATTTCTAGCCAGATAGAGCTCATGGGGAAAAAAAAAATCTAAGAAAAAAAATTATTAAGAATTAATAATAATAATGATGCTGGTAAGTACCAGTGCTACACAGAAACAGGAATACTAGATAATAAATCACAAAGATCTATGCCAGGAATCTTTTACTTAAAAAAAAAAAAAAATCAAGTAAGTCCATGATTTAGCTTATAAATTTCAATTGAAAAATATTTTTGTGGATGTCTAGATTTAAAAAAACCTAAAAAGCTCTGGCATAATTTATTTAATGGTACATAAAAATCAAGACATGATGTCTATTTATTGAGCACAGTATTAATATTTTCAGAAATAAAACAGAAAACTCTACAATAACATGATGCATAGTGTTATGGAGGCTTAGCAGAGTGAGTTTAATATAGGATGAGGCAGAAGTTTCATGGAAAAGGTCTATGTCCTCAATTTGGGTGAACAACAGAATGGTTTGTGAACCACTGTAAAGAGACTCGATAAATGACAAGAAGACTTTAAAACTCCATTTACTTCCTATCTTTCTAGAGATAATATTTTCCCTAAAAATTCAGCAATCAAATGTAATAGTCTTGTCTAACTTTTCATTCTGCCTTAAAGCCTCTAAAACCCACCACCTCTTCTTTCAATTCAACTGTCATACACAGGAAAAAGAACAATGAATAAGACCTCATCTTTGGCTTCAAGAAAGATAAAATCTTAGTTTTTTTGAGTCTCACTGTGTAGTCCAGGCTGGTCTTCAACTCACTATGTAGTCCAGGTTGCCCTCGAACTCCTGCCTCAAACCTGAGTGCTGGGATTACAGGCGTGTGCACCACACCTGGCAAGGAGATATAACCTTAATAATGGAAAAACACATATAAGAAAGCCCAGTATGGCAGTGTGACAAACGCTAACCTACAGAAAGAAAAAACTGCTGTAGAAACACACATTTAATCTTCGGGAACCACTAAAGTGAGATGGGAAGGGCTTTCGGAGGACAAGCCTGCCAGTTTCTGTGCTTTTTGCGACTGCACTCTTTCATTCTCTTATTGTACTGTTAAATCCTATTGCCTTTATAACAATCCATCATCAGATCTCTACTTTTTCTACAAAAGCGAGCTCTTCCACAGCATCATTCATCATCTGAATGTAGGAATTCCTATGACTTCTACCCTTCCCCCAAATACTAAATTTGTATTTCAAATGTCTATTGGGCATGTCAACACAGATGTTCTATAAGTATCAAAACAATCAACATGTCCAAAGTACAACTCCTTGTATTTCCTAAATATTATTTTACTTCTCTGTTCCCTGCCTCAAGTAGCAACAACACAGTCACCCAACTAGGAATAAAATGCTGTTGTTTTTAATTCCTTCCTGGTCCTCAACCATCTGTGTCATTAGTTCCTAGTATCTTCAGGATTTAGAACGTAAGAACTGTGGGAGAAAAAAACGAACCTCTTCCACATTTGTGGTAGGAATGTAAACTAGTAGAACAATTATGAAAATCAGTATGGAAATTCCTCAAAAAACAAAAAAAATGAAATTCCATTTGACCCAGCTATACCTCTTATGTGTATGTATCTTCTTGAAAAATTTAAAGACAACAGTAATACATCCAGCACAACTCATACTAGCTAAATTTGGCAGCCATATTTAGGTAAATATGCCCACCAACAGATGAACTGGTAAAGACAATGTATATACACAATGCAGTGCTTCTCAGTCATAAAGAAGGATTAGGTTTAAGTAAATGCCCCTTCAGATTATAATGCTAAGTGAAATAAATACACAGCATAATATCACAGTTTCTCTTATACGTGAAACCAAAGTATAAATAACTTAAGGAGCAAATAAAAGCTAGGAAAGAGAACGACAGACTTTGTGGAGATGAGAAGGGATCTGGAAATGGAGGATGACAGAAGAGAGGGCTAAAGGAAAGAGGAAGAGAAGATGCTATATGCATATGTACCAATTACTACACGTATGTATTTATTATGCATTGCAAACATGCTGATAAAGGTGCTCCTTTAAAACAATGATATAATAACCAAAAAAAAAAAAAAAAAAAAAGCTACTGATATATGAAACAGCCTTGATGAATTTCTAGGGAATTATACTGACTGAAAAAAGCTAATCCCAAAGAATGACATACTAGATGATTCCATTTATAGAACATCCTTGAAATGAAGAATTTGGGAATTAAGAGAAATAAGAAACAAGTGAGTATGTCTAAAAAGGGCTAAATCAGGGATCTCTCCCATAATGGAAATATTTTGTGTCTTGACTGCATTAATGGCAATATTTTTGTTGTAGTACTGTACCTTCATTTTGCAAGATGGTTTATTTTGCACTGAGAAAAACTGTATTTAAAAATTTATGGAATCTTTATTATTTCTTACAACTGCATGTGAATATCTCAAAAGTTCAATTTTGCTTTAAAAAGCCATTTATTCACATCGCTAATGGGCATAATGAAATGTTCTCAGCTTCATTAGTAATCAGAACATTGCACAACTAAATACCACTATACACACCCCAAATTGGCTGGTTAAATGAAAACAGCAGATAATACACCATACTGGTGGGAATCAGGAGCAATTAGAACTCTCACATAGTTGAAGTGAATGTAAAATTGCACAATTACTTTGGAAAACTGATAGCGCCTAACTGAACTAAATGCATACCTATTCTATGACCCAGCAATTCCACCCCTGGGAATATACTCAACCACCAAAAGACATCCATAACACTATCTGTAATTACAAATAAGGAACAACCTAAATGGCCAATACCAGCAAAGTGGATAAATTTTACGTATTTACAGTATAGGTAGAACAAACTTTACAATCCACTTTAAGAAAGGGAATATCTGACACAAAATGCAAGAAATAATCTAGGACCTTTTCATCACTGTGCTCTAACCCAGAGCATAAAACTTGGATGTAAAGGGGTTAAAATACTGATGTTCTTGGTAGTCTGGATGACCAGGCTAAGCCTGAGGTAAAGAGCAGAGCAATTACCACCTGGGTTCTCCCCAGTGTGTAACACCCTATTATCATTCTTTCTGCATACCACAGGGTGAAAAGGAGCAAGTGCTGCTCCAACCGAACAACCTAACAGTAATTATACTAACCATGTGGTGATTTTTAAAAGTCCTTGCACTCATGTATAAAATCATCATCACACATCAATAGATACCTTCAGAAACACGCTTTAATCAAATAATTTCATACTGGTTTTTTATGAATTTTCAAATATGGACATATAAAGATTTAGCTAAAAACTAGGTATATCATAACACTATAACATATACACCTACATTAACTTATTTACACTGTTGTAGAAGACTACTTGATTACTTAGAAAAATACATAAAGTAAAAAGACTACAAAACAGTAATTGGTAATGAGCAAATAGAACAAATTTTGTTGTGCATCGGTTATCACTGAATGCTGAATAAAAAACTATTTAAATATTCTCCTTGCTTTTGAACATACACTATCCTATAGTTTATAACACTAGGAAGAAGGGAATAAGTATGAGAAAGTGAGGATTAATTATAGAAAAATATAAATAGTCACTAGAAATAATCAACAAAATAACAATACAAAATAATGTAACCTTATGTTTAATCTTAAGTGCACAACTATTTCTGTGAAAGATCCTTGTTTAGATGCTCTTCAGATTTTATAAAGAAGTTAAATCAAATGACACAAAGGCTTCCTGTTTTCTACTTCTAAAATTAAGTATTTTAAAAAAATAAGTGATGATGGAAGAATTACGTAACTCAATGGGAAGAAAAAAATAGTAATTGTGACCCCTGTCTCACACCACAAACAAAAATTAATCTAAGATGAATCACAGAGCAAAACTGAAAAATTATAAGACAATACAGTATCTAGAAAAAACATAGGCCAATGTTTTGGTTTATGGGTGCTCCAAGTATGAGTTAAGAAAAAGAAACACATTAAGCATTGCTTATGAAGAGCAAAGTATGGAGAACAGCCTAGCTAATGTAAAAACTAAAGACTGAATAGTAAGGCAAAATCATAATGTCAGGTACCCAATTTTAGTCTTTTTTCCTTTTGGTTTTGCTATTGTTTTTGTTTTTGAGACAAAATCTATAGGCTGGGAATGTAGCTAAGTGGTAGAGCACCTGGGTTCAGTATATACACGTAATATTTTTGAGTCAAGGTCTTATTATGTTGTCAAAGTGGCATCAAGCAATCTTCCTGCTTCAGCTTCTCAGAAATCTGAGATGATAGGTACATGCCAACACATTCAGCTAGAAGTTTTTCTTTATAAGAATATCACTGTTAAATAACCATCAATTACATTCATTTCATCTTACTCAATTATACTCCCCTACTTATTCCCTTTTCTGCTAGCCCATATGATTAATGTCACACATTTTCAAAGAGCTAGTTTACTAGTATGGAGATTGCAGTATTTGGCCATGAACTACAACAAAATGG